CGCAAACGGCACTGTTGGGCGGAATACAAACGAACTAATAACGATGGAGCGTATAGGCAATACAAACATATCAGGAACACATGCACGAAGGCTATAAGAGAAGACAGGCTTCAGTACCAAACAAAGCTTATGGACAAATTCGCCTCTAACCCTAGAAGCCTATTCCGTTATGCAGCCTCTCTTCGTCAAGCCAAAACAGGAGTTTCTCAACTGCTAGGACCTAACGGCCCGACCAACAACGATGGCGACGCCGCCAACCTTCTGGCGGCCCATTACTCTCAAACATTTCAACCGGCTGATATCAACTTTATTGACGACAGTTTCATCTGCAATTCCACAGGACTTTCTGAAGTGGACCTAAGCGCTGACTTGGTGTTCCGGAAACTGCAGCACTTAAGACTTGACACTTCTCCTGGCCCGGATATGGTTCATCCTGCTATACTGAGGGAGGCAGCCTCAATCCTGGCAACGCCGCTTAGCGTGATGTTTTCACACTCGCTTAGCCGAGGCAAACTACCGGAAAATTGGAAGTTGGCTCACATCACACCAATTTTCAAAGGTGGTCGACGCAATGAACCTTCAAGTTACCGGCCGGTAGCTCTTCTGTCGTTACCTTCAAAACTCATGGAGTCCCTGATATGCGACGGTTTAAATGATTACCTACTGTCCTTAAATTTCTTCTCACTCCAACAGCATGGTTTCAGGAAGGGTTACTCTTGTATAACCAACCTGCTGACTGCGGTGGACAGATGGACAAGCATCCTCGATCGCAAGGGAAAGGTTGATGTCATTTACCTTGATTTCTCAAAAGCTTTTGATAAGGTTAACCACTTGTGTCTTATCAACAAGCTCAAACGACTAGGTATCAAACCACCTCTAATCGACTGGCTTACTTCATACCTAAAAAATCGACACTTTAAGGTTAGGGTTAATTTCACTTTATCTCAGGCTATGGAATGTCCTAGTTGGGTCCCCCAGGGCTCAGTACTAGGGCCTCTTCTCTTCTTGATCTACATAAATGATCTTCCTCAACAGGCAACGTCAGACTTATTACTTTTTGCCGACGACGTGAAACTTTGGAGAGAGATACGCAACCAAGACGATATACAGGCACTTCAAGAGGATCTGACTCGACTTCATAGTTGGGCAGACGATAACGGACTTACCTTTAACACTTCAAAGTGTAAAGTAGTCCATCTGCGACATGTCGCAAACTACAGTTACAACTTAGGAAACTCCTCTCTAGTAGTATCTCAAGTCGAAAAAGATTTAGGAGTCCTGGTGCCCCATGACTTAAAGTCTTACGCTAACTGTGACAAAAATGCCTTCCGAGCAAACCTTGCATTGGTAACGTTGAGGCGCATTTTTGGTCAGTTTGACGGAAGAACTTTCCACACAATCTTCAATAGTTTCATCCGTCCCCATTTAGAGTACGGAAACATAATACTCCCCCCCTCACTCCAAAAGGATAAGGTCACTTTGGAGCGTATCCAACGGCGAGCCACGAAATCAGTTCGAGGACTCAAATCTAAGCCTTACGAAGAACGCCTCCGTTCACTAGACCTTTACCCACTAGAATATAGGCGTCTTAGAGGTGATTTATTAATGGCTTATAGTATTCTTAACACTTCTGGACATCCTCTTAAACACCTACTTAAGCTTAGTTCGAACAATAACCTAAGGGGTAACACCCAGAAACTGGAAACACAACATAGCAAGACGGAATGTAGACACAACTTCTACTCCTTAAGAGTTGTCAAAAGCTGGAACTCGCTGCCGGCCGAGCTAGTCCAAGCGACTTCTCAGGAGTCCTTCAAGAGGCAACTTGACCTATTCTTAAGGACCAAGGACACCATCGCACTATGATTTACCAATTTCTTTTCCTCTTTTATTGTTAACATACCTAGGTTCCTGCCTGGAGGATTTGGTGATCCCCTGCTACTAGACACGGAAGCCTGTTAAGCGAAAGCTTCTTCTATTCCGTCCACAACCATTTGAACCATTTGAATTTTGCTTAGGCCGTGTCCTTGAGAACGTTACTATTACCACTTAATAGTTTCGGTTACTTGAATTTCAGCGGTAAGTTGTTAAATGGTCGTATCTCACAAATGTTGCTTGCCACGTATGGCTCTGTCTAGGTGTGTGTGATTCATTCTTTAGGTTATGGATTTTGTACTAGTAGTGTAGAACTTTATATTTTTGTGATCTTAATGCGCGATTGCGCATTATATTAATAAACACCCTGACGGGTATTCACAAGCAATCAATTAAAGAGGCAATAAAGGCGTGGGAGTGGGAAGTACAGGTTACATTTCTATGGTAAAGCGGGATTTACTGTTGAACCGCTCTAGAATGTGTTTTTCTGTCATGGGAAATAATGCGGAATTTTTCTCCTTTATCTCTCTATGTCTCAAAAGTCGCCAAATTTTCTGCTTTTCATCTAACCTGTTGCCTAATTTTTTACTGTACCGTTGATCACACGCTTTGTTGTCCATCTTTTGCCTAACCCCATATGTCTTCCATGTTCGGCTTTATTTCCATAACAAATTACACGATGACTGCAATCGACTACGTTTAAAAATGATACATGATTAAAGACATTTATTAACTAGAAGAAACACCATATTACACAGGGATATTTGTGACAGATACCCAAGCAACGATCTTTATTTTATTGTAGATGAAGTGTCTTTAACCGCTTCAACATGGTCATCTGCAATACGAACAAATAATTCAATGAATTTTATTGACTTACAAATTTGTCCCTTATATCTTCTTGCTAAAGACATGCTTACAACGTTCCTAGTCCCTCTGTAGATGAAAAAGGGAGCTGTGAACTTGATAGTCCGAAACCAAGTTACCGCGGATGTTCACGCCCACCAGACCTCGACATTAGCTACTTAGTGTTGACACTCAAGTCTGAAACAGCAGACGATATGTTCTACAGCACATCACACGGTGTACCAAATCTTAAGCACTTAACTCAGTCGGACACGTGACTTGCTCGGCTGCTAATGCACTTCCCACACGCCTCTACACGTACGTTGAAGGTGACACATCCAACTGTGTGAAATTGTTTATTAACTTTTTTAAAGAAAACACGCCGACTTGGCAACTGGTGAGAAAAAGTATCTAGCAATCCAAATTTATGATATTGAACGTGGCTGTTTCCAGCCTGCATCTCATTCACATCCATATCAACGGAATTGTACAGAAACCTTTCCTTCCGTTTCAATACACCTCTACAAAATAATAATAAGATTACTTTATGGACCTCTTTAGCTTCTCTTCGTTTAGTGGCAAGATGTTTTCTTCCGTAAAATTAGCGACACAGTAACCAGTCAAGTTGTTGAACAAAACCAACAAATCCTTTGCAGTCTCGAAACTATCTATAGGAAATGATCATCCCTATGTTTGTAACTCACTACAGGGGTTGATGACCTTTGGACTTTAGGATTAATTGTCACCTGGTTGGGCACTGTTCTACTGGTGCATATACACAATGTTCGTAGGATAGAGACAAAGTTCTCAGTTCACTGCTTATCTGCAATTAGAACCTGTCTCTTGCTTTGTGCGTCGATAAGTACGAACTGCTTATTACTCAGCTAAACAGTATGTAGAAGGTAAGGAAATGATTTAGAGTAATACCATCAGAAAAGTTTTACAAATTATATTCACTTGAACATATGCAGCAATGGAACAATTAGTGCGTTATTAACACAGTTAACGGCAATGCATTTACAGTCAGCCCATATGTTCTTGTGACTATTTCGTTAAATTCGATTGGCTTAGCATTCCCTCCATAAACGCCTGTCATGAACACGTCTCTAAACCTAGGGGCAACGATGTGTCTTAATATAGGCCATAATCGTTGACTAGAGATCCTTGAAATCAAGTGTCTGTCTACATTAATATGCAAGTCCAGTGTTTCAAAATCACAAGTACTCAACCAAAGTTTCTAATCAGAGATGGTAGTAAACACCACTATTTATGAACTTAAGTTGAACACTTGTGCACGTTCGTAGGATACTTCTAGTGCTGCTTGGTAAATCTGGTACAAGATCTCGAAAAGCATTTAGGATGCGATCAACATTCCTGCTTGTCTGACAGCTATTTGTCATCAAATTCATCAATGCCATATTTATCTGTTCTTCCCGCTTTATGAACTATGAACGCAAATAAATGTGATTACATCCTACAAGAAATGGATTAATGATTTCACTTCTTTCACATACCATTATCATTCAGAGACCTTTCATTGTTGTGACTACTGGATACTATCACGGTTGGTTGATTTTCATCATAATTAGCAGTGTTGACTGCTATTAATGCAACATATATCACTGTTAATGTCAATTACCGTTGATTGTGCTTTCGTCGACAAGTTGACTAAACGAAAGCAATTTATGTTTTTTCATGAAAATCGTTCGTATTTTATCCCATCTTCGTTTGTATATCGGACTGTGACAACCATGGGCGATTGACAAGTTCACTTATAACCTCGTTCGTCTTGTAACGTGAATTTAATAAAAGTTAGTGAGAATGTTAGTAGACGTAGGGCGACAGTGAACTTGTTAATCGTCCTTGGTTGTCATAGATAGACATATAGCCGAAGGTGAAATAAAATACGAATATGAAATTCTTTGACTGTTAATATGGTAGTGTGTTGTGTTCATCTGGATTTCGAAAATTAACTGATGTATGACTGTCAAAACCTCGATAAGTAAGTCAAGTTTCAGATTTTGAACTCGATGTTTAGAAACTAAAGACCTTGGTGATTCATCCGTATTTCTAACATGGGGAAACCACAGTAAGCCCATAGATGGAAAAAGGTTAGTCACATTATTTGGGCTGCAAAGACTGTTATTGTTATTACTAATGACTATTTATTTCCGTTTAATTTTCTTTCTTTCACGTAGATCCATACTCTCATCATATGGTACTTTGGGATATTCGTCCGTCCGTGATGGTATTGCCTAAAAACTAATCAATAAAACCCAATGGCTGACATTAGTAAATCGCTTGATGACAATGTTGTCATTTCACGTCGTACGTTGAACACATTTGGTGGCGTGTTTTGCTCTGTAACGTTATCCCAGTTCAGTAGCGTGATATTTCTACGTTTAGGTACGTTCAGTGTTTTTCTATAAATATTGCTCCTCGCGCAGGGTTTATTATTGCTCATGCTGGTTTGCTGGAAAGTATATTACAACTATTACTATCCTATTTCATCCTGTTGCTGACTGTATTTTCTATATGCGCAATTAGTACAAATGGGGCAGTTGAAGGAGGAGGTGTATATTGTATCCTTTTCTATTGTAATTAGAAGTATTCGTAAGAAAATGAGTCGTTCAGTGCTTTTCATGCTCAATTTTTCATTTAGCTTGGCATTTCAGATTGTTTTTAATTGTAGGAAATCTGATTAGTTTTTGTCATTCGTATATAAAAGTACTAATCACATATTTTTTCACCATTGTGTATACATGTACACGTGTATCGAAGGTGGCTTCAGCTAAACTGAATTGTTAAAGAAGTATTTCATATTCATTTCAAATTTGTGGTGATACTGCTTGTAGGAAAAATAGTTTAACTGACTTATTAATTTTCCTGATTACTTCTGGATGAAGTGGTTTTTCTAAAAGCGTTTGTCAGGCAAGGTGAACTGTTCTCGTAGGAAGTACTAGTTGTTAATCAATGGATTAGAGTGGTGACACTTTAATCAAATTTCATTTGGTAAAGATTTTTAAAATTATTCATTATGGATCTGATAGTGCCTACACATAAAGGAAGCAATTAAGTAATTGAATTGAATATGAAATCATTCAGAAGTTTCACCATACTTTATCAATAACAGGTAGAGGAAGAGCGAATAAGTCAAAATCTCAATGTAATTTTCATAGTATAGATTATGAACTCATCTTAGTTAAACTATTACTGGAAACCTAGTAGTGCTGGACGGTTTTTGACAGTTCATGGGATAATATTATAAATCTCAATCTAAACAAAGGTAAGGAATGAATAAAGATATTGCATTGGGACTGAACAATTGATTCCGACTACTACTCAAGCAACCAGAAAGCTTGCCCCTCCATGAACGCCTCTATCTAATAATGACTTCACTGACTGTTAGGGTTTATTTGTTTAGACACGTGTAGCTTTCTACACTGTTTCTACTCCAGCCAACATTGCTTCGAAGGAGTCTATGGCCAAACATGTCTCAAATGCACTAACTGACTAAGGTTTTGGTTCTTATCAACCGACTTACAGCCATTATATAATACTCTATGACGAAACTGAGTATCGCGTAGAGTTGTATTCGTTCAGTTCACTCAAGCTTTTATTCAAAGTGAAGTAGTTATTACGGTATATATCAATACGTTTTTGTGTTTTCTGAAATTGTTTTCACATATTTACTGTAACTGATTTCCTTGATGAAAAAATCAATTAGTCGTGCTCAGTAGGACTTTAGGCTCTGAATTCCGTGGAGCTATTGGATCGATATTTTTCCTCGCACAAGTTTGTAGTGCTGCTTTGTATATAGCGGGATTAGTGGAAGCTGTGCTCATAAATTTCGGTCCTGGAGGTTAGTTAGTTTTTGTAAATATAACTACGAGACTATTTTAAACGTAGAAATTATACCTGAATAATCTTCGCAATCGAAATATAAACCTTGTCCGTTGTATTTACCTTTCGCTGATGAGTTTTTCTATGATATTGTTCTAGGACTTGCAATAAAATACTACAGCTCAGTAACCACCTTCGTAGATATATATTCTTTGGTTGATCACGCCTATTATTTGAGCATTTAGGATTTTACTCACTCGTTATAACTTTGCAGACAGTGTAAGATTTACACTCAGGTTGTTGGAAGTCGGTTATTTTGACCACTAGTCGAAGTCCTTTGTCAGAAACTAGACTCACTGAGGTATATTCCTAATTAGTCGTAAAGCTGCTATTGACTATAATGTTATTTTCTTCCTGATGGTTCATTAAGTAGTGCTCTTTTGAAGATGAAAGATTCCTTAAAATTATGCTTACAGATGAAGGTTAATTTATGACCCATAGTTTTGTTGTTGGAGGCTCTAAACTTTTTTCGCATAAAATTTCTTTATACTAGGTTATTTCGTTAGTCACAAAAAGTGCTTGTTTTTGGTATATTTTCGTATCGGTGATATATTCTGACATAATCACGTTACTTTTTACTGTGATAGCGGCGAAACAAAAATCATCCATTGTACTAATCTCTTGTTACTCCTGATATCAGCCTTCATGATGCGCAACTGAAACTGTTCGTTGAGTCACTGGAAAAAAATAATGGTAGGCTAGTTTTAAAATACCATTTGAACTGCAGCTGTAGAAATTGTATTATATGCGCCGTAATTCTGGGTCAGAAATATTGATGATACTTAACATTTTGGTTTGTACTAGTTTCATATTTGTGTTTGTATTTATTCTTTTTCTAAGGTATTTTATTCGATGGGGTACTACCTGGTGAAAATCACTGGTGGAGTTACCTGTATGCCATAGTTATTCTTGCACTTTGTATGTCCATCCTATTAATTGGTAGTCAAATGTTTGCTCGTGCTCTGTACTTCATTCTTGCAGTAAGTTTAGTTAAACTGACATCGTGGTCGCAATAATTTGTGATAATTTGTATAGAATCCTAGATACATCTACTGCCTAGAACAATCATCCCCATATAACTATTAATGAAGTTAGTTATTTGTATTTTCGATGGAATGGTGCAGGGAAGTGCAGGTAATATATTGAAAATGTATACGAATCTGGTTAAAATAACAGTATCATACATACCTTTTGCATTTCTAATTACACAATAGTCTTCGTTTTAAAGATATTCTTCATTGCAATCTGATACCAGCTAAGTAAGCATTAAAAAATTCAGGAGGGACTAGATAAATATATCATCCTGGTTTAAAGCTGCCTCATAATGCTCATACCTTTATCCTTCAAATTGTTGCTGTACATATACATTTTTTTCCATGAACGAAAATCAGACAAATAACACCCTCAAATATTTTCACACCAATGTAACGTTATTTTTTTCACGGTCTGACAGCAAAATACCACCTAGTTTTTCGTCTAGTTGTTAGTTGATTATCCATTTACGTGAAATTTAGTCAAGAATATTTATATCTTCAAGCAATCAACCTTATGCATACATATCTACAAACAAATATTGATGTAAATCACTATCTGATGGTCGATTACAGTTTGATATGTTCTTATTAGTTCTTTCTAAACTTTTATATAGTTAGGTATTTATTGGTATTGCTTTCAATTTTAGTAATTTTCTTTCCAAGTGTCTTTATTTTATTGAAGTGACAATTCGGCTTTAATGTATGATTAAATGTTTTATAAGGTTATTCACTGAACTTTCTATTCATTTTTATGATATATTCACTTTCACTTGTGACGATTTATCCTGTACCTCGGGTTAATCTAATTGATTTAAGTCTAAACATAATATAGTTCTGTAAACCTTACAAATTTCTCAGTGTTACTGTGTTCCTCGTTTGTTTATGTTTTGAGTACTGTGGAGTTTGTACTTCTAAGAAATGTCAATATTACAAAATTGTTTTCGATGTTTATTATAATGACAATGACTATTGATGAAAAGAAACTAAATATGGATTAATGTCACTCATTTGTTCTTTTCATAAATCACAAAATGTAATGGTAATAATATTTATATATTTCCTCTTATCAATCGTGTCGACTGTTTGTTTTAGAAAGAAAACAACCAGCCTAAAGATAAAAGATAAAGCTTTAAGTGCAATTTCATCATGATGTATCTAGTTGTATTTGCTATTATTTTCCATGAGATTAAAATACCTTCATATGTTAATTCTATGATTCGAGGTTACTTTCAGATTGTTGTCTTTTAAGGTGTGAGTTTCAAATGTCGATTTTTTTCTAGGCGATTCTATGAGCGACATATGTAACGCAAGTGAGATAGTCTCCCACACGTTAAAGTTCTTTCGACTGTTCGTAACATTTGCAAACAGCTGTCGAAATGAAAGATACCGATATTTCATAATCATAATGTACTTAAGCCAATGTCTTCAAAGTGAACTTATCGAATGAATAATGATATCGACTATTCCCACACTCAGTGTTAAATCTCAGCATTACTTGCATACAGTTGTCACTTAACGCAAACAGTCGTATAAAAATGAACAGTATCAACCATGGAAAGTTGCCAAAGAGATGTGATTTCAAAGGAATCATGTTTATGCCTTACAAACTCAACCCTTTATAAATATTACAATGAGTTTCCCATGAATCAATTTCCCATGATTATGGTTATAAAGATTGCAAGCGAGATAGTTTGATATTGACCACAGTGAAATAATTTCATTCTTTCACATTTTTCTTAGGCTCTTGAATTATTTTACTACGTTTTATGTCACTGTAACATTTTCCTCATTTGTGAATATGTACCTCCATTTCTCATTTTACTACCATTTGAAATCAATACCACTGTATTATGAAACCACTTAGAGGATCAAATTTACTCAACTATATTACAAATATCAGCAGCTAAATTTAGTCGGAATGAATGTAACGTAACAGTTACTTACATCCTAATTAAGTAATCCATTAAACACACTTGATATGTCCGAGTTTGTAATTCTGCATATATGCGCAAACCTTTGATGTTTAAATTCATAGTTCTATGATTTGAACAATTAATGATCAAATTCATATAATATAGGTTCAGTTCACTGTAAATATTTCTAAATTCCTTGTAAAGATAACTTTAGAGTATAATGCAGTGATTAATTAAGTTGTATTTGTGTGGTATTTCTTATAAAAAGGTGCGTATTCCTCTATTCTTAGACGTATAATATCAATAAAGATTTTTTTTGAGGATAGAAAAATTGTAATACGAACTTTGTATTATTTCATGAGTACCTGTATTTTATTGAAATTACTGTTTTTAGTACTGGTAATAATAAGTAAATTGTCACCAAATAGTGCATATTTCGTTATTGTTTGGTGTACTGTTTATATTTTTGTACTTGTAATGTACTATTTCAGTTATTTCATCCTCCCTCTCCCATAGTGTTGTGAATAATAAGTTAGTTAATAGTGTTTTTCAGACCTGTTAAATGTAGATGATTTCAAAGGACATTTTTGCAAATACATATATTATTATTATTATATTATGAGTATTTTTATTATTTTAATGATAAAGTAATTTGTATTGGTAGTTTTAAGTGTAAATTATCTATCGCCCATTAAACTAGCAGAACAATTAGATTTCAAGTTATTCTTTACGTTTTTTTTTATAATATTGGTATGGCTTCGTATTCATTTACCCGACCAACTGTTGTTGTTTAGTTGTGATGGTCAAATTTGTCTACCACTGCATCTCAGTCTTATTGTACTATTTCGGAAAGTCTATATGTTTGTGGGTTTTTTTTGAGTATTTTTACGGGTTTTTAGCACTGGAAAAATAACTAGTTTCTGCACTGAGTCACACAATTACTTTTATCCCGTAACAACCGTTGTCTGTTAGCAGTCGAGGTTACTACTCTACGGTATACTTAATGCAATATCTTTAAGCTAGGAATACTTAATGTTTTTTCAATAGATGTCATGCTGACGCGTAGTTGTAGGATTTAGAAATTAGAAACCATCAAACAATCTGTTTTTTAGATGTTAAGGTGAGTCATGAAAAATATATTCAACTTTGGAGTATTATGCAAATCAGCTTATGTTTACCAAAGTTAGAAAATTATGTTTTTATCTTACTGAAAATGTATTAAAGGTGGTACGCTGTGACTTTTTATCATTGTTTTCGTCATTGGTATCCAATTTCGCTCAAATGTATGTATCAATTTATTTGTTAGATCGATTTTATATTTGTTGTTGCTATTCTTATTGTTACGTACTTTTTCCGACTGTAAACTACAGATTACTCAAGGTTTAGTTTTCATTGATCAACAAAATCGTTGGAATTTCATTTGTTCATCAGTTGTCTGACACCAAACCATAGTTTAGTTATATTATGGTCGTTTATTGTAAATGCTTTTATTGTTTTATATTGCAAATACATTTCTTTTCCTTTGCCGAGTCCCTTACTCCGTAACGACGTTACCTGTATACTTCCATATTTTGTTCCTCCATAAAAGTGTTGCAAGACTGATGAATAGTCTTTATTCGCTATACAGATTTCCATCTGTCTATATCTGGTAAACCAAGTTTTTAAAATACTTATTTCCTTTAAGCACGCTACTTAAAATTATTTAGTTTATATGATCCTCTTCACTATGTGATATATTCAGTTATTGTGTGATTTAATGTGTGGGTTGGTATCTGAATCATTGTGTAAATACTCCTTTTTAAATGAGTGGTATATATTATGAGACATACTCGTAAATTAACTAATCATTTTAGTTCATCATATGTAAAATTTTACATAAAACGTATTTGGATAATAATAGTAACTCAAATAAATCTTGAAATGTCGACCTTATTTTGCGTTCTATTATATGATAAATTAATTAATCATCATCGTATTTATTTTAAAACCTAATTAAGTTATTTTGTTCTGGCAACGGAAATACATTGAAAACGTGATAAGATCATACGTGAAAAGATGGCTTTTTTGATCACCATTTCTTTTCCCTGATAGATGATGATCGTTGAGAGAATATCTTATTTATTTGATAATGTGAACTACACAATTCAGTTGTTTATAATTTTATTATTAATAAATCGAATAACATTCTTGAACATCATAAATTAGGGTATTTACTTCATGCTCGTCATACAATATGTGGCTCAAATGCCCTGGTTATGACCAAGTGTAGAGAGGTTGCGCTCTCCCTCCGTGATGTTCTCGTCTGGTCTTGCGTTTAAAGCTTCTGTTTAGGAATTCCTGCTCATTGCCTTCACGTAGTAGGGGTGCACGTCGAGGCCTTAAACAGGGTTGATATATATAGAGGATTCTCATGGAGGAGTTGGAACACTGATTCCAAACCAATAGTGGACATAGGTTCCAGGATCCTATAGCTTATGAAGATATCTTTAGTCACCGGCTACCATGAGGCTACATTTCTCAATGTTGATCTATTCCCCTATAGATAAGGCATTTAGATTAGAGTTTGAGTTAGCGGTCCCCTCAAAAAACTTCCTGCTTCGGTTTGAACGTCTCAACAGTATCCTGGTTTACACAAATTTTATTTTATTTAACACATTCTGTTTTTAGTACTCATTTGTACTAGATTTTGCATGAATTAGATGAATAACTAGAAGCCATATATACTTCTCATATATTTCCTTTCGTAAAAATAACTTGATCATATTCAGTAGCATATACTATACTCAACATTTTGTATTTATTTAAAAAAATTCTTGTTACAGGTTGTGGTTATTGTTATTATCTGCATATTTGCTAATTTCTTTCTACAACCAAAATTGATACCTTTGCCAAGATCTAATTCGCTTATTTATAATTCATCAACATCAAATAATATAACTATATTTGCCGAGTTTACTGGCTTAAATGGGAATACACTCAAAGAAAATATTTATCGTAAGTTCATTTTATTCCGGTATTGAAGAAACATGTGAATATCCCTTTATTTGTTGTTGGTTATATTTCTAATTATCACTCGAATTTTGTATAATTCCTTATTATTAATCAATTTTTCTCCGAAGCAGTGTTTGTTTTGTAATGTATATTGATTAGTTACATATCGTATTCCACATAGACATTACTTTCTAATGACTCTACTCATATATTTGTAACGAAACAGGAAGAAAATCTCAACTTTATCAAAATTGGATTCAACTCATTTGATATTATGTACTAAGCTAGTAATCTAGAGGTTAATTGTGGTAATCGTGCCACGTGTAAGGTTCTTTTTAAGTTTATTTACTATAATTTTAGATAGTTCAGAGTTAATTTTCTCAAAATATCTTGATTAATATAGCCTTAGGTTTTAAGAGATGATCGGTTTTTAACTGTGCGTATCGGTAAATAAATGAATTTAAATATAAGTTGAAGATTTTTAGTCAATTGAAGCATCTTCTTCATATCATTATCTCTGACACAGTGATTAGAAGCTCAGGGCTTTAATCGGTAAACCACTGTTCCATATATATATGCTTTAGTCCGCCTAACACATCTGTCTTACCGAAAATAATTTGCTAGGTGGAGCAGAAATAAAATTTAAAAAGCCTTGATAGTAATTTCTGAAGTCACAGACTACTATTTTATGGGTTTTGTAAGTCAATAAAAATCTAATTCACAAAATGATAAGATAAAATAAATTGACTTTGTTTCATTGGTATCTTATCGATTAGATACAGTCTTCAGCTGATAAGAAATCAATGATATAAAATAAATTCTTCTTTTGCATTACGTTTTCTTATCTATTACCTTTCGATTGACACCTTTCAAATCGGCTCTATGGAAATAAGAATATAAAAACAGTTTGCATTCTAAGACAGCAACTGAAACGTGGTAAATAAATGAAGACATGATTACTCGTACATCTGTATTCTACGAAGCACATATCCTATATATTTGATTTTCTTATGAGACGATTTTATCACTATGTCCCTGATGAACAGAAAAATGGCTAGTTTGTTTGAACCATTTTCACACTATTAGCTAAGTTTATATGTATGTTGTTAATTTGTTAGAAATTGGTCCTTCTAACACTGCGGACGTTCTTTTTACATCGTTGATTCAAAGAAAATAAATGTTTAGGATATGATCTGTGTGCTTGGTATCCTTGAAATTAACATAGATCGATAATTAGAGATTTTATATGGCTATGTTTTGCGACGGTGTTACAATTTTTTACTCTTTCTTATTCTTTGATTTTAAAATCAGTTATTGATGTCCTATGTTATCTTAGTTTTTAGATTACTCAGAGTGTACACGATTTTAGTATGTAAAAATTAGTTGATTTCATTTCGAGTTTGCGTTAAAACAAAAATATAGATTTATAATTTTTAGGAGAAATCGGCACAATGTATTTTTCATGGAAAATAGTTGTTGTAGTACTCCAAAACATTTTGATCTATTTGAAGCCTTATTTGATTTTAAATCATTCCGTATAATCTAACTGACTGACCTTTATTTCAATTTCCTTTGATCGATAATGCTCCTCTCTGTTCATTTTATCGATCGTGATGCCTTCTTACAATCTTTAGATGGTGTTATGTAAATACATTTGAACTACTTAAATCGATTCGTAGACTTTATATCAAACTCTGATTTACTCCCATCAGACTATCTCAAGTTAGGTTTACATGGAAGATCATATGTATTAAACTTACTAAAATACGACGAAACTTATGTGCACTGTAAATAAATAATATATCTGTAATATCCCAATAAGTGGAAAAATCAAATTTTCTGACGTTTCGTGACTTAGTGTAAACCACTGCTTCAGATAATAAGTAACCAAATCAAAATTAATCCAAGTTTATGTAGTACAGACGAAACACTGCTTTATGCTTCTGATTTGTCGTTCAATCAATATCCTTTTTTAAACAAATAGTCATTTAACCAGTGAAGTCCTCAAAACTGCTAATTTGAATATTAATTGAGGTCAAAGCTAGAATTTAGTGAAAGCAGTCGTGAAGAGAACGCGAAAGGAAAGCATGATAAAAATAGAAGAACAAAAGTGAATAAAAATCAGTGTCTGAGAGCAAAATAATCATAATTATAATGGGAGAAACCGTTCAGTCAAGAGGAATACAACCGGAAGGAATTCCTTTAGTTAAAGAATTTACTCTCGTGTTAATGAAAAAGGTAAAAGAAAGTTACAGCAGAATCACTATTGGCTTCTATTATAAGCCATATCTGATAACGGCTCAAGCTATTGTGTTGCACCGTCTTTAGGACCCCAACAAGGAGTCATAAAGGACCAACAGAAGCCAGTCCTGTACTTTCTTACCCACGACGATAGCATGTCATACATTAACCAGCTCTCCACTTTTTCCAACCAGTCGCAGTATCGGCGAATAATGCACGGTGTGGAATTCGTAGGATGTGTCCAAGCCACCTGACTCAGTGTTTCAAAATGGTGACACCGTTTGAATTATTGTCTCTGTACTCGAACACACGTTCCTGAACCTCTGCATTACTGACATGATGTCACTGGATGTCAGCAATCCTTCGGAGAAAACAACGAGTAAACACAGAGAGTCGTCTAATATTCTATACGTGAATTGATCTTATCACTTACGCCACCATCAAAACTTATGCAGCTACCCAGATACACGAACTTCTTGACTACTTCTAAATTCTCACTACCAACAGGGATTGGAGGTTCAGAGTCCTGCTAGACTTGTAACAGTACTTTTCATATGGGGAGTGCAAAGCACATGGAATACCTACGGCCACTGGTTGCCAACTAAGTGTGGATTGCATGGCTTGGGTATCATCTCACAGTAAGACAATATTACCTCCATACTCCAAGTCGAAAAGTCTTTCTCGCGGGGACAGATCCACAAGAACAAACAAACTTAGTTATGTAGGTGTCAATGCAAAGGTTGAGATTGATAGTTCTAACTAAATGATGACTGAAACTAGAAGAATTATGTATGTGTATTATATAAATTAACCATTGTATTTCTGGATTTTGGTACTCTTTTAGCTATGTATTCAATTGATTATACCACTGGTTCATTGACGTCTTTCGTCATTGTTTTCTCCGTATTATTTTCTGGTGTAACTGGGATAATGAACGGTGCAAATGTGTCTGGTATGTTGATATTACTTCCTCATTTCATCAGTCTATTCATATTCAAGGTTTGATCGCTCAATATACTTTGATTAAATCTTCATTTATTCCAAAAATTATTTTTCAATAGCATATGCTCAAATTATGCATAAGTATATATTTATATATAAGATTGTCAATTTTATGCCTAAAATCAAAAACTACAAGTTACACCCAAAAGTGTCAAAGTCAAAAGTACTTGATTTGTCTTGAAATACGTAACTATAATTAAAAATTACTCCAAATCGTGAATAAAATTGCAAACTTTGAAGTGTGAGATTTACGGACAATTGTTGCATCTCTATAATAAAACGGAATACATAAAATGTTTTGTGAGTAGAGATATGATATTCGAGTGCATTTGTCATGGGTAAGCTCAGATAAAATCATATCGCACATCTTTATGAATCATAGAGTGAGCTGGCTCATCGAAATAAGTCGGTAATCAGATTTGGAAAGTTGCTTGCTGTAGCGAGTTACGCGCTTTAACATATGAATCCAAGAAACAACTGAGGCATACTCTCTTGTATTTTTGGAATATGTGGTATCATATAAAGTGTAAGCACAGACTATCATTATTATGTTTCATTTAATCGTTAATTTGCTAAGATGGGGTTCGGCCTGTGCAGGGTATTCATTAGTTGATGTCATTTGTAGAGTAGATTTGTTGAACAACCAATAATAATATTGTTGAGTCTTTTACTTAATTAACGCAGAACACGATATATTATTGACGGCAATCAAACTTGTAGAACCTCACAGTGGCAAATCAGAAGACGGAAGAAGCAGGATGAGTGATTATTGGGTAAGATTCAAAAATATGCAGGAAAACATGTGTATTTATGGTTGCTAGCGTTGGCTATAACATCATTATAATTCAACCAACCCGCAAGGAGGCAAGTTATACTACCGTCCGATCGTAGTATGTCATGTTAATATTCTAGAAAGCCCTATCAGGTTGTGATTGAGTGGAAACTCTTCGGCTCCTTTAAGGCCTCTGGAAGCTCCATCATGCCCATCGAAAGCCGTCCCAATAAATAGAAATAGTGAACACTTTGAAAATATATTTCTCCCATAAAGATTAATAGTAAAAGTCCTCTTACAGTTCTAAGCGGATAAAGGATGAAGATGGAAAATGTGGTGAAAGAATAATTTGGTTAACCGATCCTTGTTGAACACGTTTGATTGCATTTAGTCAATATCACTACCTAATTTCGACCTGATAATTTCAAATAATTTTAGCAATGAATGAAATGTAACTTAGATTGCGAACAATGCTCTTCGAAAGTCACTAGCAGTGGACTTCATGACTTGAGCTGCAATCCACAGCATCACTATTTTTTTGAAGAAACTCAATTCTCTACTCATTGATATGTGACAAATACATCATATTGTTATAATTATCATGAATTAAGCGAATACGTCTTGCCACTTATGCAATCTCAATTATCGTTCTACTTACCCTAAAAAGCCTTAAATTTGTTTTCATTTATTAAGACGTACGGACATTTAGCTCCATTTTGTAAAAGCATATGAAACGTTTTACGCTAAGAATGTTGAGTCACATTTATTTTGCAAGGATTATGATATTTCTGGCCCCTTTATTGTGCCTTGACTTGTCGGGGAGCTGAGCTGTTTTTCTTGTTAAACCTCATTCATTAAGCCGTGATTTTGAAGCAAAATAATTTGGTGGTAAGGCTAGTTAAATTTTTCAGTGTAATATGGAAGAGGGTAATTAGGGCTTGCGTCATTGTCTGTTGAACAAGTAGTCGTTATATTTTTAAAAGGGAACTGATGTGTTGTTTTTCCTGGTTTCAGTGGTCACGTTTACCCGAAGTTGAATGGATTGGAATAGGGTATGAAGTTCTAGGAAGGCTTGAATCCTTCAATGCTAGAGACTTTCAAAAAGCATTGAAATAGATAAAACAAGAAATACTCTTTTGCATGTGGCACATAGTATATTACCACAATCTTCTTTATATATAACTTTTTTAGGTGAATTAAAGAATCCTTCTCGTTCAATCCCTTTGGGAACTCTATCTGCTTTACTTTGTACATTGTTAATTTATCTTGTTATGATGATATTCTCAGCTTCTTCTAACAGCCGGTAAGCAAGTTTCTCATACACTACCTTTCAGTTTTATGCTTAATCTACTAATATATTTTTATGGATTTCGTCGTCACGCACATATAACTGTTCATTAGTACTTAGAGATTATATGAACCATAAGTCACCTGATTAAAACTAAGTGTTTTTTCAACACTTTTAAAACATCTTTAAGAGATGTATCCAGCCAACCACAATGGTATCTCGTTAGAAAACTTGGCTATCAGCTTTTTACGAATAATTTACCACCGTAAACTATGAAGTCTGAGACCTACTTGTTCAATGAGCATCCTGACGACCGACTGGACTGTATTTTTATACATTAGAAGTTTTGTCACAACTCATAATTTCTGGTTATTTGGGTTATTTATCATGACGTAGTTTAATTTAGAGTCTTGAACAGTACTTTATTAACCCAAAACACTGTACTTCCACTTAACAAAGGGAAACTCGTCGAAATAAAGAAAGGGGGTGATGTCACTCTGATTACTGGCATCAGTTGACATAAAGTAAGCAGGTCTGTCGTTGTAACTTGGTCATATTTTGGTAGGAAATTAGATTCATTTTGTATTCATCTAAAGTTCTATTGCGTTAGATGTTAAGTTATTGGTTCAATTCAATTTGTAGTCAACTTACATAACATCATATGTTTCATGGTGATAAATGGTTTGATGTATCTATCTCTTTATCTATACATATATATTTTAATCTCTGAAAAATTCCCATTATATTAAAACGCAATTATATGAAAAAATAATATTCTTTTCAATAATATCTCATCAGGTTCTACAATTATAAATCCACATTAATAATCCATAAAGTTGGCCAAATTTAAGGCAGAGTACATCATTTAAAATTGTAATATATGAATCAAGAATTGTTGTTTGTCATACAAAATCAAATCGTTAATGTTGGGATGACTAGTATCAAATGTTAACTTGAATCAGTTTACGAGCGAAATGAAATTGTGAGATAAATGATCAGAATAAATATGGTCAACATGAGCTGAAAGAGGGATTACTTAATATGTAGAATAATATGTCTTAGGTCAGGTATAGTAGGTAGGGGTGGATGCTAAATAAATTTCTCAAAACGGTTATCAAGGGTAATAATAATAATAATGACAATGGTAAGATGCGTGGATAAAATAAGTTTGGGACATAAAAATGAACATTAATCAAATCACATCATCATATCATAAAATTGATTATTAATTAGTTGGCCAGGCTAAAAGGAGTGGCTGAATGTATTTCATTTGGATGCACAGCTCTGGCTTTTTTATCCGAATAGCAATTGCTTCAGCCGTCCGCAGGATTCGTGGTCTGACAGAATTAGATATATTGCTGTTGACACGATTTATTATTGCGAAACATTGCTGGTTTTATGTCTCGTCTGAATTAAGTGGACTAAAATGGAGCTGTTAACCGTTTTAACTACACCTCTGCTTAACCACACTGAGAGGTGCTAACAAGCCCGAATAGACAAATTCCTAGAACATCTGCTCCACAGGAGCAGTTGAATTGATAGATACAGAAAAGTGGCTAGTCTAGGCAATTTATCTTTCAAACTCGGAGTGATCATTGAACGTGTGCAAGACATTAATTGTATTTTACCTGCATTAATAGCTCTTTGCATTGATCTGAACAAAAGTAAGAAAGTTTGTATATTGGCCTGTCCAAGTAGTTTTCTTGTTTACGTTTCTTCTTATTGACCCGTATTTTCTCCTTGTGAGTAGAACAATCCTTAATTCACGAGTTACAATTTTAAATGATGTACTCTGCCTTAAATCTGGCCAACTTTATGGATTATTAATTTGGATTTATAATTGTAGAACCTGATGAGATATTAGTAAAAAGAATATTCTTCGTTCATACATATATATTAATGTAAACACATGTATTCAGTTTTAGAATATTTCTATTCAATATGATTATACTCGGCTCATAATTTTCAGATATAGTACCGTGATTATTTCTCACTGGAAATAACTGACTTCATATTTTAAAAGTTCTAGATCTTTGCATTATTCTTTTTTTATATCAACGTGTTGAACTACTAATGAGTAATTACAAGTGTAGTGATCGAGAACACAGACTGACACATAATATTTATATCTGTTGACATCAGTAGCATATACCATATAAGGAATACATGATAATATCTTAGAGAGCCAAGATATATTTGAATATCTTCATAATTTTCGAGTATTATGATTCATTTTGTAAACTGTTAACTAGTGATTTAACTTTCTCAGTAAGATATTAATCGATAAAAAAATCAGGGTTTATAAATCTGTTTATATTTCTGTGATTACTGATCATGTATCGTGTAACAAAGCAAGGGCAATAATTTTTTTAATACTGAATACAATCAATTCATTCAATTTCATTGCTTTCTCCTCATCATCATACAAAGTAATAAATGTAGTTAGTTGAAATTACTATTATGTTCATTACTTTAGGAATTGAAATATTCATTAATAAAGAATTATATTATTTGTAATCAGATTACTTAATTATTCTCTATGTTTCTTTGCTAAGTACTAAAATGTCATTATATTAGGCGAGAATATTTTATTTCATCCGTTTAAAGTGTATCTAAGTTCGATCAAAGATACATGCTATAGTTTTTTTTAAATATATTTTTTTTCTCAGTAAAAAGTGCCATAAACATACTATTTGTTTTTCTTTAGATTTAACGATGCAACTTTGATTATTTGATTGATTTGTGGATGTCTCTAGCATCATTTTTTCATATTTGCTCTTGTTATATTTTTTTTTATTATGTCATAGATATCTGTTATTAAATAACAATATATTTATGCAATCAATTAGTTTTTGGCAACCAATCGTTGTAATAGGTGTTTTTGCCACTACATTATCAGCAGCTTTAGGCAATCTTATTGGAGCTTCACGTATATTGGAGGCGATAGCTCGTGATGAATTATTTGGTAATTTTGACTAATCAATAACGCTTTATATTGTATTATGTAATGAAATGTTACTGTAGGTATCATTACCAAGGTTTGATTTGATAATTTCGAATAAATTGAGCATCGGGTAGATTGTTATAAATAAATAATATATTTTTAATATCACAATGAGTAGGAAAATTAGATTTTCTAACGTTTCGTGACTTAATGTAAGCCACTTCAGATTCTTATTGTTTCGTGCTATTTAAACTTGGATTAATTTTAATTGGGTTATTTATTCTCTGAAGAAGTGATTTACACTAAGTCACGAAATGTCAGAAAATCTAATTTTTCTACTCACTGGGATATTACAAATATATTATTTATTGAAATATAACTAGTTTTTCTTCAAATCTATTGATAAATGCTTATATGGAATGTCGGGACCTCGTTTTGGCAACCGTGTAATGTTTTCCGTTTTTACATATGAAGCGCAGCTCAAAGTCAAGTACATGAAACTGTACAGATGGTTAGGCCAAACTTACTTTGTTAAAATGAAAATTCGTCTTGTCCTAAAGCTTTATAAAGATTTAAAACAAAATAAACTTCACAGTATAATATTTTATATCAATTCATGCTAGCTAATTATTCTTATCACAAACCAAATTGCCAACAATTTGTATGAGACTAACCCTATCAACTCAAACAATTGTCTGTGTTTAACTTTTTTCACTGTAGGAATTCCAACTTTTCTATTTTCTTTTATATATAGTCAGTGAAGTCTTAATAAATCGTTGCAAATATTAAATCTTATCAATAATATATTGTTTTACTACTTGCTTATTTATATCTTCATTTTACTGCTATCTCTTGAGATCATGTTCATGTATGTTGATTCAACTATCTTCATGATTATATATCCCACTCTATTGTTTGGCAACAAATAGAATGAAGTGAGTCAATAGTTTTCGATGAGATATTATCTCATATCGATGACAAGTTTATTATTGGCCTGCATTACACATAGCCTTCTTTATTTTAATGCCTTTTTTCAATAATATTTCAGTATATTTTTAAAAGTCATATTTCATTCAAGATTCCAAGATCCAGAAGTCAGTCGGACAAAATATTACCACATAACAAATGCCGATTATGTAGTATAATAATTGACTTTTTGCTTTGAATAGGTCGACTTCTCCATCCAGCAAAATGGACCACAAAACGTGGAAATCCGATAGTGGCAGTCCTCTCTGCTGGGTTTCTTTGTTTGGTGAGTTAGTTGATTCTTCTGCACTGTTTATTCATTTGTGAATTGTTGAAAGTAGATGTTTATTAGTATTTGTAATTATAAGGCACTAGTTGTTTTCTTATGAATTTCTAGAATTTTTTAAATCATACTTTAGCTTATACTATCCGTTTATTCTTTCTGTAAAGTGTATACTGAATCTGTTTATCTTTTTTAAACGTTACAAGACTTTGTAACACATTTGTTAGGTTTCCAAAGTTTTTACGATATTTTTCAATACGATTATACCAATAACTTCAAATGGTAGGTAATTGAGATTTTTTCGATAATCTTAATACATATTTTACTTGTAAATAATAGGTACTTTCTTTAATCAGGCTCTGTCACCAGTAATTTTATTTAAGGAAACCAAGTATGTACTTCACGAACACTTATTGAAATAATTTCTCTTCAAATGGGGAATACACAAGAAATATTAGCTTGCTATCTTTCTTTTTTTCATTCATTGAATCACACACAAAATCTATTCAGTATTGATTGACGTTTTATTGTGTTCCTGGTAGTTTTTTTCTTGTATCGTATCATTAATTGGCATTACATGGTTCATTAATGTTCTCTGTTTAGTTTTATTAGAGCCTATTTGGGCATGAATATCTTAATAGCATAGTCTGTACATCAAATAAGTAAAGAAATATTTGTCTTTGATGGTTGGGACTCTAGTTTCGATTATCTATTCAGAAATAATACTTTTGGATTGAGTATTTATTTAAAAGAAAGATAAGTAACATTAAAAACGATGAGAGGGCTATGTCGGTAAATGGTACCAGTTTAAAATCAATCAATCAAATAATAGAAATTTCTATTCTGTTGTACATATACAGTATTTTATTGACAGCCATTTATAAACATTAAAGTAGATTTCGAAAATAATTATTTACTTTTTCTTATCGTTAACATTAAAACTGAAACTAAGCGAATATGATTTTTGTACAAAGTTCATCATTACAAGAAATATATCAACAATATGATGTGAATTTCCTATTTATTTTTTAATGTATTTTTTATGACTTTAAGCCTTAATACTGGTTTAAAATGTTAGGATCATCTTTAAGGTTCTGTTAAATCAATACAAGTGACTTCAATTGGATCTCTAATAAATTTATCATACAGGTTATGTTTTGAACTATCTCAACAACATGAATAAAGCAATTAGTCCCTTTGATAAATTTGGTTACTGTAATAAGAAGACAAGGATTATATATATTTGTGCATTACACTTCGAACAATCCGATCACATACACATGTTAAGAACATTTATACATAAAAATAGGAAGTCGTTCAGACTAAAAATGGGAGGGAGGAGGAGACAAAGATAATAAAGAAAATAATATGAAACATCACTCTGGATAATAAACTAACATTAGCAGAGTAGGTTTAAGGTGAGAACAAAGTGTTTTTGAATGTATAAAGGGCGTTTGGATTTTCGTATGGTCAAGGCTTCAGTAAATGCCCTTTAACAATTTTGTACAACACTACAAAAACCAAGTTATGGTCAATCTTATGAGTTGTTTCCCACTATGTCGATAGAGTTTGGGATCAGAGTTTTTGAAATTTATTACTTTGATAAATCACATAATTCTGACAATCTTAGTTGTCTTATGAATAATGTTCCCTACTTAGTACCTTTGATGTTAATTTAATAAGTAATTTGGAATAGATTACTTTTTTAATTATTTAAATAACACAATTTTTCACTTAAGGATGATTTCAATTCCTATTGTTTATTATTATTCACTTGTTTATTTCTTCTGAATTTTATCAGAAATCAATTATGATATACACTATTTGTTTGTTCTTGTTTTTGTTTGGTGAAAATATAGTTAATTTTACTGATTGGTAGATTAAATGCTATCGCTCCACTTGTATCTGTTCTATTTTTACTGGCTTATGCTTCAGTGAATTTGGCCTGTGCTGGTTTAGATGCCGCCTCACCACCAAATTTCAGGTTAATCTGTTAAAGTATAGTGTTCTGTTTACGTTTTATCATGATTTCAACCTCACTTTATGTTAACCGTTGCGTTTGTGATTTGAAACTTAGACTTAAAGTTTATTTTCGCAAAATAACTGATGTATTTGATAGTTTCCTCCGATATTGCATATTTATTTGATTTATAGGACACCATGCAATATACTCTTGATGATTTTAGTCAATATATTACATTTATCAAGTACAGATTTATATATTTAAGTTTGAGAAACTTCCCATGAGGCCTAATGGTTACCACATGATTCTCTGTAATAAAATGGGATTATAGCCTGCAGGTATCTTCACCATTATTTCACTGTTTCATATTTTCCAAATGTCATATATTAAAATTGATATTCAACAAATACAAGTTGATTTATTCAACTTAGAATCACAATCCAGATGTGAGAGCTAACGATACTACCTAATTGCCTAAACTGAAGTAGATGAAAGGTGCTTTAAACGTGTCAGCTATTCGTTAAAAGACTAATATTGTGATTCTTGAATCACCAAAAAGCATTTGTTGATCCAAAATTCAACATATTTTTTAACTAATCATAATTAAAGTCTCTTTTTACTGTGGCATTTGAGAAAAAAATAGATTTTCTTTAGTGTAACCGAAGAATTTCTGTGATACCTTCATAATAATTACTAATATACAAGAAATATTGATTCGGAATTTATGAAATGAATAAGAATAAAAACATTTTCATTTTGCTTTACAGTTTGTCAAATAACTATGCATTAATATATTTCTCAATGGTGATCTACATTCTTCATAACATTTTAATCGACTCGATTATGATGAAAATTATGTCAATCTATAATACCGATTTCGAGGTAGTGAATGTAGTTTATGGTATTGGTATTGTGGTGTGTGCTACTTATATCGACATAAGTAGTATATGACGTTAGTCAGGAACAGAATGTCTGACAGCAGAGAGACAAGAGGACAGAACGGTAAAGAATGGGAACAAAATGCAATTTGTACGAAAATTCAAGAACAATGAAGTCTGAGTCATTTTGAGACAATCGATGGACATTTTGCTAACTAAGCATTTACTTTGTGATATATTTTATTAACAAGTCCTGTAGTTTTGTGTTAAACACATTCGATTGTCCCCTGTTCACTAGAGTATTAATGTGTGTTCATTTAATTTGTTACCTGCGAATATAAAGTGGAATCAATTTACAACCGTGATCGCTCTGCAAGCCTATAATAAATACCTAACAGGTTGAAAATGTTTTCTCTTAGTCTTATGATCCTAAAAATAGTTACGATAAAGATGTAATCTTTTAAGTTCTTTCAGTGATTAATAAGGAAAACTGGTTACAAAATTGTCTGGGAAATGATTTTATGTTAAGAATAGATCTAATATTGCGAAGAAAGAAACATCATTTATCTGCACCGAATTACTTGGCAAAAAATAAAATATTTTCATCTAAAAATTGTATTTAAATTTCATGAGAAAATGAAATAGATTCATTTCGTCAGTATGTGTAATTTTCCATACCAATTATCGTATTGTCTTTTTGTTTTGTTTACATTTCACTTTGTCAGACCAACATTTCGTTATTTTAACTGGATCACTTCAATTTTGGGAATGATTGGTTGTTTCATTATGTGTTTATTAATTCAACCAATTTATACGGTAGTCGCAATTATTGTTTTAGGTCTACTTGTATTTTCATTATATCAGCGGCATTTAGAATCGTCATGGGGTAATATTGGACAAGCGCTTCTATTTCATCAAGTAAATGTTTTTAATGTCAAAAAAGATCATTCGATTTTAATTTAGTGAAAATGAAAGTTTTTGTTTGCATATCTTTCTAAGTTTATAAGTATTTTATGGATTGAGTATGTCAGTTTAATTCTGTAACCTTTTGAACAGTCAGTCAATTTATAAAGCATTCAATATTCGCTTCATGAATTTGTAGTGTGATGTCGTATAGATTAATTATTAGAAACTGTGTTTTTTGTATTGAGGAAATTCTGTAAAATATGACTACATAAATATTACGTTTTATAGTGTTCTCCCACAACAATTATCAGTGATTTGTTTTATTATCAGTATAGGGTTGTGCATATTATTAAGCTTTTTTTATGATCATGAACTCGTCGATGTTAGACCGCCATCGAAAACTTTGATGCACTGAATGGTCTTTTTGTCTCTATATGGGACTTCTCAAGTGTTCATCTACGATCCCATATGTGGGATTTCAATACAGGACCTGTTTTGCGCGAACGCTTATCCTCTAGACTACTGAGTCGGCATCTAACACTGTTAATGTCTAGCTCGTTTTATTATAATTGGGTTAAAAAAAAGTATTCACTAAATCAATCTATTTGGTTTCGAGACATTTACAATGTATGAATATCATATGTTCAAATGTACTCTTCTAGTTGATTAAAATGCAACACCCAATAGTTATTAACACATCAGGGACAAAAGCAAAGCAAAAGAGAAAAATTTACCGAATTTTTAATAGCAATAACATAAACAGCTACCATAATTTCTTAACTGTATTTGTAAAAGCTTATTTACTAGTATTATCCAGTTGACCTAATTTGTCCTAACGTTGGACCCAAATAGATCACATCGCTATCAGCCACCGACGGAGGGGCTCGATAGAAGACTGTCGCTCATTCTGGAGCATATGCTTAGATTCAGATCATGCTCTAATGCGAGCGCGTATTTGCTTGCGTCTTACTGGACGTAGGAAAGACGCTGCAAGGAAACCTCTTAGGGGTCTATTTAATGATAGTCAAGCTAAGAGTGTATTTCAGGAACAACTAGAAAAACAGTTAGGCAGCCATGTATGTGATGCCCACCCCGATGCAGCATGGAATGATATCCGAAAAGCTGTGGAAACAGCAGTGATATCTGCTAGTAAGGTAAACCAGAAGGTTAGGGAGCAACACTGGATCTCAGCAGCATCTATCTCACTGATAGATGCTCGGAAACTCATTCCACCTGGCTCTGAACATAATGAAGAGCGGAGTCAGCTTAAGCGCAAGCTGACAAGCAGTCTACGCAATGATCGCGAACAGTGGTGGGTAGCGAAAGCAAGAGAGATGGAAAAGGCAGCGGCAATAGGTAATAGCAGACAATTGTTCAGACTCGTTAAGGAAACCGGAATTAGGAACCCGACCGTTAGCGAAACAATCTCAGAGAAAGATGGACATATTATTCATTCTCAATCCAGGAGATTGGATCGATGGGCAGAACACTTTAGCGATCAGTTCAACTGGCATTCAGCCACACTTCGGTTTCCCACGATCTCTAGTCAACCTGAACGGCAAGTTAATGTAGGTCCTCCGTCCCTTTACGAAGTTGAAAAAGCCATAGGAAATCTGAAACGAGGGAGAGCAGCAGGCCCTGACAGGTTTACTCCTGAGATTTTTAAGGATGGTGGTCCAGTATTAGCAATGAGATTAACCGAGGTCTTAGGTAGGATTTGGGAACTGGACGTAATCCCATCTGACTGGTCTCAATCACTGATTGTGCCAGTTTTTAAGAAAGGACAAAAGTCCTCTTGTGACAATCACAGACGAATCAGTTTGACTAATATAGTGTCTAAAATATTACATTCAATAATACTTCGACGCCTAATCAAAGCTCGTGAAGAGCATATTAGAGAAAACCAGGCTGGTTTTCGACCTGGACGTGGTTGTATAGATCAGATATTCACTCTACGTCAGGTTCTAGAACACAGACACACATTCAGACACCCCACAATGGTAGTATTTCTCGACTTTAAGCCGGCATTCGACTCTGTTGATCGTGAGGTTCTATGGCAATGTTTGTCACTGAAAGGAGTACCAAAGAAGTACATTAACCTTGTAAAGGCTCTCTACTCGAACACAACTGGTCGAGTGAGAGCTTATGGCGAACTGTCATCACAATTGATTACCTCAAGTGGTGTTCATCAGGGCTGTCCACTCTCCCCATTCTTGTTCAACTTTGTGGTCGACGTACTTTTAGAGATAACACTCTCCTCATCTAGATTTCCAGGGGTTGAACTTCTACCGGGAGATTCACTTTTTGACCTAGAATATGCCGACTACATAGTTCTATTTGGTGAAGACTCTGACAAAATGCAGAGTCTTCTGACCATCGTAAGCAACAGTGCAAGCATATTCGGGATGCGATTCTCCCCCCTCGAAATGCAAAATGTTGCTTCAGGATTGGGTTGCATCGACACCCGAACTAATGATAGGGAGTGAAGTTGAGCGTGTCAATCGCTTCACCTATCTTGGAAGTTTCATCAGCTCTTGTGGTCTGGTGTGTGACGAAATCTCAGCACGGATACAGAAGGCTCGACTAGCTTTTGCCAACTTGAGTCATTTATGGCGTAGGCGAGATATCCGTCTATCAACCAAAGGACGTGTTCACTGCGCAGCGCTTCGTCCCGTCCTACTTTATGGCAGTGAAACATGGCCGGTAAGAGTAGAGGATATCCGTAGGTTACTAGTATTTGATCATAGGTGTCTTCGAAACATTGCTCGTATATCATGGGACCATCGAGTAAGTAACACAGTTGTTAGGAAACGGGTACTAGGTAAGGATGGCAAATCAATTGATGAAGTAGTGAACTCACAGTT